GTCGTGTGGAGAAGAGAGCCTTTGATCTCAGACAGACGGAGACACTGACTGTGTTCAAGTGTGAGCACAAGTATCTGAGTAATACTGCAGTATTTCAGGATTTCTATTTCCAAGTCAGACTGTAAGTTATGACATCACAGTTCCTCCAGTGGTTCCACCCACTACATCTTCATCATCTTCATCCTCTTCATCATCTTCATCATCTTCATCTTCAGCCCTCACACATTCATGGAATAGTAACAGGTCCACTGAATACCCAGCCAATCAGAGTCCAGGGTTTGCTGAGCTACAAAATCCTGAAGAAATTAATTGGACACTTTGTTGTTGAGCGCTCGCTAAAAGGTCGTGTTTCTGTGAGTAGCTAAGTGGTCGCAACATTTCCGGCTTTTTATCAGCGTTAATGGATCATTAAAGGAGCGAGTGCACTCTGGTCGCCAACGACGTGTGCTAAGAGCACTCAGCACTTCTGTACGTGGACCAGGTGGACCAGCGAGCCACGGGTTGGTGGGACGCCAGCTTCAACAGCCGCTCATGTTTTCATTGGTCGGCGTTATTGACAGTCGTCTCCTTTAAAGACTACCTCATCGCGGGGGGCGGGCCCTCAACACACCACCATCCTGCCATGGCCGGAATTTGAACCAGCAACCCTCTGAATAAAAGTGTAATCATTTGCTGCCTCAGATATTTCTGCTGATTAGCGCCACCAGCTGTTTTATGTCCTCAGGTCAGAATTTAGTTTGGATTAAAAATGGCCGCCACCGGAGAGGTACTAGTTAAGGGTTAGTCACCTGAGATAAGTTTGTCTAAAAGGCTTTAGCTGTGAATCCTCGACTGTTTTTTTACAGTCGAACCAATCGGTGAAAATCAACTACGTTTGAAAAAAATCCAGAAATAAAAACAAACTTTTCTTAGAAGTGACGCAGCTGCAGCAGCTGGAACTGTTTAATCCACGCCTCCGACCTCCGACCCCCGACCTCCGACCTTCACTGAGAGAAAGTAGATGAGACTCTAATGGACGGGTGTGTGTGTGTGTGTGTGTGTATGTGTGTGTGTGTGTGTGTGTGTGTGTCACTCAGCTCTTCCTATTGATTTTCTGGCAGGCTCTAAGTTTTCTTGAATGGAGCAGTTGTTATCGTTCCTAATGTCGGAGCGGATTAGCCGCGGAGGCTACAGGAGAACAGCCCTTCCTCCAGGACATTTTTTCATACGACTGTGGCGGGTCAAACAGAACCTCTGGGATTCTATGGAGTTGGTGCGGTTCTTCTGTTCTAGTTCTAGTTCTAGGGTTTTGAGGGTCGCGACCCAGTCTTTGGGAACCAATGATCTAGAGCGAGTGATGGAAGCAGCTGGAACTCTTTCATCTCTTTGTTGTCTCTTAATTATTTTGTGTTCCTTTGATGAACCTGACGTGTGTCAATCAACATCAATCACTAAACACAGGAAGCTGCGCGGACAGGAAGGAGACGACGCTAAATGACTTCCTCAACAGATTAGCTTCCCCGCGTAGTTCCATATTTTAGCTCATCAGCCGTCCTGTTGTTAACTAAGAGTTGGACGGAGTGAGAGGATAGAGCGCCACCCAGTGTCTGTGTGTGTGGACTGGTAAATTCCTACAAAACTAGAACTGTTCTGTAGGAGAACAGCCCTTCCTCCAGGACATTTTTTCATGGTTCCCCCTAGTGGACAGTCTGGGTTTTTGTGAAAACTGTTGAGAGAGACTAACTAACCACTAACTAACCACTAACTAACACGACTGTGGCGGGGCAAAAAGAAACTCTGGGGGTCTTTGGGGTTGGGGGGGGTCTTTTTTTT